TTGACAAGTCAGCATACACTTCAATTTTTTTTCTTGATGGTCTGTGTACTCCTCTTTTTTAATTCGATTTTCGGTTACCATTAGACCTCTTACAGCTTTCCGTTTCCGGCTATAAAGTTTCTCACCGTTGCAATTTTATTCCATTTTATGTTCGCTGGAGCAGTGACAGTTTTTTCGGCTGTTAACCAGTACATTTTATCGCTCATATGACCCGAAGTGCTTTAGGTATTAAATGTTCACAGTCTAGTTTGTTTGATGATTGGAATTGCGGTTTTTGAAAATCTTCAATATCAGACCAAGGCAAACAGTTGAGATTGAGAGTAGTTTTCTTTTATGGCTTTATATTTATTGGAAAATACACCATATTATTTCGTATAATGTCGGTCGAATACCAACGGTTGGAAAATATATATATTTTTTTCAATGCAATTTTTTTTCACTTTTGGCATTTGTTTGGAAGTATAGAATAGTTATAATATCTAACCTACGCATACCAAATCGGTGTTATTATTGCATAATTTTCAATGACGAATTTCATACGTTCGGAATAGTAGATTTCAGTTTTTATGATTTAACCGACGCCATTACCCATAGGGGTTGGATGGGTTTTCGCTTTATTGTTTTGCCGTGACGCAGAGGTGGATGAATGGCTGTAACCACGGCTTACTTTTATCAGGCAAACGGGGATCATTTAGCATTTTATGTACATAAATAATCTTAATCACCTTTTCCAGGATTTTTTTTCTTGGAACTTTTTAATTAAGTTTTTCGCTTTCTTTTCGGAATACCTACTTTCTATTTTAAGATTTTTTTTTGCGATATTTGAAAATCTTTCGAATTGTTGAATTAATTTATTTTTGCTTTTATAGCAGTCTTAACTGAAATTAGAATTAGAAACAGTTACATACAGCCTCGACTTTCTATTTGCGTTTCGCATTGTAACGTTGCAACATGTCCGTAAAGGATAGTACGGAGGACCTAACTGCACCCGAGTCAACTGGGTCGAGGTGTGGTATATGCAAAAATTTTATTAGCAATATCACAAACCTGCTTAAGACCAAATGTGATCATGCTTTTCACAAAACGTGTCTATCAAAACACTTAAATAACAACCCCGACTGTCCAATATGTGGCACTCGAGTAGTGTCAGGTGGGGCTTCTCACAAAAGTGCTATCTCTTCACCAACCACACCACACCATTATCAGCAGCGTTGCCATTTTAGCCGTTTTCCGGCTAGATTTAGCCGGTTTTGATAGCAACTAGCCGGAGAAAATTCGATCTAGCCGGCAGCCGATTTGTTAGCCGGTTTGTAAAAAAAAGTTAGCCGTTTTTAGCCGATTTTACTATTTGCCTAATTTTCAGGTGCAAAAAGTAAACAAGTTGTTCGAAAGCAATAATGCANACCCAATGAAGATTTTTAATGAACTCAATGTTTTACTTTCGCATCTATGCTCCCTAGTGGTTATTAGCGCGGACACATTTGATC